GAAAAAAATTCTATTTTACTCATAGTTATCCATATTATTTCCAGAACTTGATGTTCTTAGTCCAGTGATTTTAAAGTCACAAAACTAATATCAGTGATAAATGGCCATGGGTTTAAGACGATTTTCTTGCAAGTGAAAGAGTTTTGATAATTTCATGATTATATTCTTTGGAAAATTATAATTCTGTCTTAAATCAGAATGTGCCCAATGCAAGTTAGTCACAAAAGCCAGGAAAAGGCAAAGGCATATAAAAATCTTAATATTTCTAATGATAATAAGCCTGAATCATAGGTCTAATCAAATTTTACTTCAAGAAGGTATAAAAAGGTCTTTGGAATTTTAGGCTATATAATGAGTACTTCCCTATCTCCAACAGAGAAACCATTTCCAATGAGGTTAATGAATTCAATTTCACTGTGCAATTCCCTTCCTCAGCTTTGCCCTTTTCTTTTACACATATAATTGGAAAATAAACGAAAATGACCAAAAGTTCTTTGGGAATTGGATTGAAAAAGAAATGTATGTCTCCTTGTTAATGTTCTTATAATGGAAAGAAATAGCTTAAAATGTATTTTTAAAAATTGGGGAAGGAATTTGCATAGAATTGCAAATAATTGATCTAAATATTTTCATCAGCACGTACTTATATTTTCAGGATCAAATCCTTTTGAAGACATTAATAACTGAGAATGAGTTTCTAAGTTAATGATACAATAAAGGGAGGACCAACTCCCTGCAGCTGAAAATCAAGGTGGCAGTGGTGGGGGAAACACACAAAATAACAAATCAGTTTGAAATAGTAGAAGCACAGAGAAAATAATTCATAAACAAAAATTGACAAGTTTAGAAATAGAATAAACAGTGTTATAATAGTTGCTCAACAAAAGGAAAATGCCTTGGTTATTATTTAATGTAGCCAATACTAATCAAATAAAAAATAATTAATATGAACCTTTCAAGTCCTAAGATTTGAACCTAGTTTTTCATTTGGAAATTTACTAAGTTGTTAGTCAGCTGGTGAGAAAAAGTTGACGCTTGTCATTAATGCTAATTAGAATTTCACAGCGAGGCTTGTTACAGGAGCAAGATGGTCCTGAGCCAAGCACTCGCTGGCTGGAGTCTGTGATAGTTAACTTCAAATATCAACGTTTCTAAGGGCTGCCTAGGGAGCTAATGAAAAATGACTTTTGGGTGTGTTTGTGAGTTTTAGGAAGAGATTAGCGCCTTTTAGGGTCACCCAGCTGGTGGATGTGATGACAGTGTGATCCTCCTGTGAGGCGGGGACCCCAGCCCAGGGATGGTTCTGGAGCCTGGATCACTCTGGGATCCTCAAGTAGCCAAGTGCTTAGGTGTCTTTCTGTTGCCCGGCTATCAGTGTGGCAGAATACTGCCTCTGGAATATTCCTATAGTTGCCTGAAGAGAACATTTTATTCTAAGTATAGCAAGTCAGACAGATAGGACTGCACTGAGCTTGAAGAAGAGTTTGTGTTAAGTGTGGTGCCAGCTGTCAGTAAACGTCCCCCTAACAAGTGCCTGTAGGTGTGTCTATCTCTGGTCTGTGGCTTCCTCCTCTGCAGGGGAAGCCATTTGAGAGGAGCTAGTTCTCTCTTAGCTCACTTTTCAGTGGCTGATGCTGTCTTTCAAAAATAATCCAGTGTCTTTGATTTGGGCCATTCTCACAGATGTGAGTTAATATCTTATTGAGGTTTTGATCTGCATTTCCCTCAGGATAAAGGATGATGAGTGTTTTGCCACGTGCCTATTGGCGATCTGTATGTTTTCTTTGGAGAAATGTCTATTTAGTGATTCTGCCCATTTTTTGATGGTGTTATCTGTTTCTTTGTGTTGAGTTGTCTGAGTTATTTGTTGCTCTTGGATATTGGTCCCTTGTCAGAAGTATGATGTACAAATATTTTCTCCCATTCAATAGGATGTCTTTTCATTTTAATGATAGTTTCTTTTCAGTGCAGAGTGCCCAACAACAGATGGGAGGATTAAGATGTGCCCATATCCACAGTGGAATATTACTCAGCTATAAAAACAAAAGAGATGAAATTTTGCCATTTGTGACAATGTGAATGGAAGTGGAGGGGATTAAAGTAAGGGAAATAAATCAGGAGTAAGACAAATATTGCATGATTTTACTCACATGTGGAATATAGAGAAACAAGACAAAAGAACAGACAAAACTAAGCCAAAACAAACCCTAGATATATGAATGCAGAATTGAGGCTACTAGGGGGGTGTCAAGGGCAGGAATAAAATGGGGAGGGGGTTCAGGGGTTTAGGGTAAAGGACTGTGGGGACTTTGGTGCTGAGTATGGTGTAGTAAAATACATCTGAGGAAGTGTAAATCTTATACAGTGCTATAAACCAAGGTGACCTCAACAATAAAAAGAAAAAAAAAAAACACACCTAAAAGCTGTGTAAGCATATTGGCCAAGGTTTTCTGTAATTCTGTTCCTCAGATCATTTACATCATAATCACTTGAAGTCTATAAATTCTTCAATTTCTCAACATTTTAAAATCCTAGAGGTGGGGCCTATGAATCTGAATAGTTAACAAGTTAATTCTTCGAGTGAGTCTCATAGTCTCTAGGGATTCAGCCAGTGGAGACAGAACCAAAGCAGCATCAGGATCATTTGCTGACAGCATTTCCCGATGGTACCAAAGACCCATGGGGGAGGAAACATGACTGCTAGGCTTGCAAACCAAAAGCTGTAAAGCAGCAGTAATTATCGCACTGCAGCCCACACAGCCCACGTACCCCATGCCATGCATTTGCGGCTGTAACTGTTTGCCTGCTCATCTAGATGGAAACAGAACAAAGCCAGCCTTGGGCACTCAGCAAGTCAGCTGTGGCCAGGGATATTCCTCCGTCATTTGGATGAGCAGGGATTATCAACAGCTTTCCAACTGACTAGTATGATCCATTTTCGATGACAGCAATGAAAACTGTTGGCCAAAAAGCCGATCACATTAAATACAGTTTTGGAGGAAAGTCAGTTTGGCCATTGGGTTGCTTTTTCTCACATCGATAAGCCCAGTTTACTTGTTGCTAAGACATCTTGTCTGTCTTTCATCCACTCATTAATTATTTACCAGGGGTCCTTTTAAAACCCTGTAGATTTAGCTTCCAACAAACACCGTGGAAGATGAGAGAAGTAGAGGTCTGGCTTGGGATTTCTGTCTCAGTTTCACTCATCATCACATCATGATGCAGAGGGGGAGGCACCTGCTTAGCAGCCAGGATCCTGGGATTGGGGTGTGCTGCAAACTCAGTGGCAAGTCAATAAAGGCCTGGACCTCCATTTTTTCCATTAGATGATTGGGGATAAAATCCTGGCTTTGTTTTTCAGAATTTACAAATTCAGTCAGAACCACTTATTATAAATATATTGTATTTCAGGAATTTTCTTAGGAATTTGGGGAATGTAGTAGGAAACATGATTTATCAGATGACTGCTCTCAAGTAGGGTTTATTCTAATAAAAAGATGTGGGTGAATGGATGGATGATAAATAGATGATAGATGGATAGGTAGATGATTACTATAGCTATCTAGCTAGCTAGATGATACCTAGATAGATGATGGATGGATGGATGGATGGATGGATGAGAGAATGATGGATGGGTGATAGATGGAAAGATAGAGACTGAGATAGATAAATAGATAGATAGATAGAAAGAAAGAGATTGATGATTGATAGATGATGGATGGATAAATAGAAGATATGTATATATGGTAGATGAAGTGGAGATATAGATATATTAACATAAATAGACATGTGAATATGAAAGATATATTTTCAGAGGAAATATACATGTTATATTTTTTGAAGCTTAAATCAAAACTTTTCTTAAAAAAGCAATTTTTTTAAACCTCATATTACCAGATGTAGGAGAAAAAAGTCAATAAACCAATGAAAGACATTGATCTAAATAACACATGCAGCACTTAAATAAAAGATGTCCCTGCATTTCATTAAAAATAAAAAATACTACTTTCTGATAGGATTCATTTCTCAAATTAGAAAATATGCAGGTCCATGTTACAACACTGTTTCATATGCAGTAGAATTGGTCATTAGAGAATTTTCCTGTGTGCTAATATTTTCCTTCCTTCAGAACCAAGACATGTGTGATGAGATAGCTTCTCACTTAAGACAGCCTGCGGTGGGCGGCGTCTAAAATCCCCAGGATGCCTTATCCCTCTGCAATTCCTTCTGTAAGTGTAGGCTGGACTTAGTAACTCACATTTAACAAGTTGTCTACACTAGGACTGAGGGACTGTCATTTCCAAGACAGATGAAGCTTGGTTCTTTAAAAGGAAGTTTGGTTTCCATCTTGGACACTTTCTCTGTTGCTTATAGGATTTGCTCCCTCCTCCCTTTTCCTGATTTCCCTTACCCCTTCAGCCCAGTCACCAGCAGGAGAGGCCTCTGAAAGAAGGGAGACCTATAAAGAAGAGCACATGGGGGAGAGCTATTCACCCCAGAAATAACCAGCACCACCATCATCCAAGTAAGGGAACTTGAAAGCAGACCCTGGAAACACAGTCAAGGTTTCCAAGAATGGAGCCACCCCTGACTTCTTGGTTGTTACCTCAAGAGACCTGAGTTGGGACCACCCCACTAAGTTGGCCCCGATTTCCTGATCTAGAGTTACTGAGAGATAATGCATGTTTGCTGTGTTAAGGCAGGTGGTAGACACCTAATCCCAAGACCTGACTCGAGTCTAGTATCATGAAAACAAACAGGATCAGAACCTCCATAATCTCCTATTTCTAATTTGAATATCTGAGTTGTACTAAAGACTATTTATTGATATTGTTAATAGTAATACCTTAAAAATGAAGAGTGAATTTGCCAATCGCTTGAACACCATTGGATTCGTTTGCTTTTTGCTGAGATTACTGAGTCCACTGAATCAAATGAAAATACTTCACAATCAAACATCTTTGAAACTTATTTTTAGCAATAAAAAATAGTAGTCTTACCTCCAAAAAAGTACTTCTCTCCTGTTTTAACTTGCAGAGGACTGTTAGTTCGCACTGCGGAAGCCTCATCTCCATCGATGGTGAGAATAGCAAAGTTTTCCTTAGCTAGGAAACGAACCTCGTGCCACTGCCCATCATTCAATCCAGAACCTGTGAGGACAAAAGAAAAGTCAACTCTTTTTCTTATTACATTAAAATGATTTTTGACAGTAACGAGTTCAGAGTATTATGAGTCAAAATGATATGATTTCACTTAGGAAAATTCAGTGTCATCAGCACTGAGATCTCACGTGTGCAGGTGATTTATCCCTTGGCTTGAGTATTGCATGCTAGGACCCCATCAAGTAGAAAAATAATATTAATGTGTTATTTGGGAGCTTGGGGATAAGGATGGGTAGGATGAAGTTGTTTGGGAGATGCAGATAAAGTATTTTATGTTATTTTTTTAAGATTTATTTATGCATACAAGAGCTGGGGTATAGGCCAGAGGAGCAGGGGGTGAGAGGATCCACCAGAGACAGAATGGGGAGCAGAACAAGCAGATCTACTGAAATACACTAAGGGGAGCAGTAGGTCAAACAGGAGAGGTCTGCTGCGCCATGTGGGTCACCTCCCTGGCTGGGGATTGAACTCACACTGTAGAGGCTGCAGATAGCTTCTTAGTGCTGCGATTTAACCCTTTATGCCACCAGGAAGGCCCAGATAAAGTATTTTAATTTGATGATTACTTTCTGATTTGATATACTAGGTCGCACTCTCAGAAACGAAAATGAATTTATGGCTATTATTTAGTATTTATTAAAAAAAAAAAACAACTTTTCTTTGTTCTTGACATGGTTTTCCTCAAAAACTGAATCTATATAGTTTATAAAAATTAAGGACTAAAAAATGTGTGAATATGTACAGTTATGTGTGCTAATTAACCACTAAGAAGCCATGAGGAATAATAGCAAGACCATCTGATTATTTATACATGACATTTCTTGATAATGAAGTACGTTCTATTTAAACAAGAAAAACCAACTAAAGAAATCAACATCTCCCCACACCAGCAGTCACATGTCACTGTTGCCTAAAATAAAGATGTTCAGAGAGAGATTCTATGGAGTTCTCCATAAACAGGCAACATTTACAGTTCATGTTGAATTGGTGCTTATATTAAAGAGTAATGGAAAATATAAGTGCAAATGGAGGAGAACAGCCATTGAAAATAAGTATCTGGCGGGCGAGGAGACGCTGCGAGTAAGATCTCCCATTAAAAAAAGTGAATAGGGAGGAAAGCGGCAGGTCCCAGTGAGAACTGGGACACGGAAGATAAACGGGTGACTCCAGCAAACTGCCCAAAGAAGAAAGTGGCCATAAAAGAGGACGAGAAGGGAGGGAAGCGCAGAACCCTGCTCCCCTCCCCCGCCCACAGAGGCGGCACTCTCCGACCGGCAGAGGGGAGGAAACAACAAACCAAAACGGCCAACAAGAAAAACGGACACAGCAAGCAGGACTGTGAGTGGAAAGGAACTATTTCAGCCACCACACCCCGTGAACGGGAGCTGTGGAGAACCCTGCAGGATTCGCCGCGGCGGTGAGCAACGGCTCCGGGCGCCATTAGAGAAGAACAAAGACCCCGGGAGACGCGCACACAGCCCGGGCTGCCGGTAAGCTGGCGCGGATAGCGGCGCGCGGCGCGCTTGAAAAGAAAGTGCAGACCAGGATCGCGGCTGCCCAGGTCCCCGCGCCTGCGACCTAGGCTTGGGAGACGACCTAGGCTTGCGGGGAGACGCGCGGAGGTCCTCACTGAGGTGAAGGTCCCTCCCTGAGTGAGCAGGAACCAGGCGCCCAGGCACGGGAGCGGTGCAAAAGGCGCCCTTCCCGCGCCACTGAACTGGGCTACAGCCCGCGTCCTGGAACTGAGGGCTTTGGAACTGAGACCCGGGGCACGAAATTAGGGGCGTGGGTTCCCCACGACGGTGGGGCACAAGGCAGACACAGCACCCCAAAGCCGTTGAGGTGTACCCTACCATCCCCGCTCTGCTCCCTGTCCCACCGCGTGGAAAATCAGCTCCCCAAGGGCTCTAGGAGAGATCTCTGGCGCCACCTAGCGACTTGTAGACAGCACAGGCTCCTGAAGGAACTAGTGGCCAGCTGGGGAGTTAGCCCACACCCGGCCCCTTCCGAACAAGTAGTCTGAGCCCACAGGGAGAGCGAGCACCCACAGCCAGGGCAGACCAGGCACGCAGAAGAGTGTGCCTGACACCGGACGCGCAGGGAGTGTGTCCCACATCACTATTTTAGAACAGGGACATTTCTTCAGTAAAGACTACCTGAAGAAGGCTTCCTCAGGAGCCAGAGGTGAGCGGGGGAAGTTCGCCCACGCCAGACCCCCTCTGGCCTGCAGTCCAAGCCCAGAGGGGAGCAGGAACCCACCGCCGGGGCAGACCAGGCACACAGGGTGTGTCCCCACATCGACATTTTAGGACAGGACCTTTCTCCAATAAAGACTGCTTGAAACTGACAGATGACTCCAGGAGGAACCAGAGGGAGAAGAGAGAAGCCCACCCAAGATGCCGGCCAGTCCCACAACACAGTGTCCCAACGCATACGGCAAATTAGAAAACAGACAGTAGGGAGGAGAAGAACCACACGCAACCTAGCAACTCTCCAGAGAAAAAGCACACCACAAAAAGAAAACCAGCCCCCAGATTGCAACGACAGTAACTTGGAAGAACTTCTGAGCCTTCCAGAAAGAGAATTTAAAATTGCCGTGATTAAAAAACTGACAGAAGTCATAAAGGAAAACAATGATAAGGGAAAAATAATCAACGATCAGAAGAATGAAATTGAGTCCCTAAAGAGGGAAGTAAAAGAAATGCAGGAGATCAAAGAATTAGTGGAAGAACTAAAGAATTCTGGGAAAAGCAATGAAAGCAGAATTGATGAAATGGAAGAACGAATAAGTGCTCTTGAAGACACAGAAATAAAAAGAACCAAAACAGAAAAGGAAAGAGAGTACGAAGGAAAAAGAATGAAGAAAGACTTCGGGAACTATCTGACTCCATGAGGAAAGGAATATAAGAGTTATAGGAATACAGAAGGAGAGGAGAGAGAAGTAGGAACAGAGAAAATATTCAAAGAGATAATTGAAGAGAACTTCCCAAATGTGAAGAAGGAGCTGAAAATTGATATACAAGAAGCAAGAAGAACACCAAACTTCCACGACGAAAGAAAAAATACAGCAAGACACATAATAGTAAAGCTCCCAAGAATCCAGGACAAGGAAAAAATAATGAAGCTGGCAAGAGGGAAGAAACAGATAACATTCAAAGGAAAGCCAATCAGGCTGACATCAGACTTCTCCCGAAGAAAAACTACGGGCAAGGAGAGAGTGGAGGGACATAGTCAACAGACTCCAAGAAAACAAGATGCCACCAAGAATACTCTATCCCGCAAAGCTCTCCTTCCTCTTTGAAGAAAGAATATGGACCTTCCCAGACAAACAGAAACTTCGGAATTTCATTGCAAATAAACCCCCACTCCAAAAAATACTACAAGGAGTCCTAAAGCCAGAACCTCAGAGGGACGAATAACAATGAAAGAAGGCCAAAAAAAAAAAAAAGTTATTAAAAGAATAAATAATAAAATCAAAGGAAAGACAAACACAATGGCAAATACAGATGTTAACATATCAATATTAACTCTAAATGTAAATGGACTAAACTCTTCAATAAAAAGCACAGAGTTGCAGCCTGGATTAAGAAACAAAACCAACTTTTGCTGTCTCCAGGACACTTTAGCTACAAAAGATAAAATAGGCTCAAAGTCAAAGGATGGAAAACAATCCTACAAGCAAATGGGCCAAAAAAGAAAGCAGGAACAGCTATACTTATATCAGATAAAACAGATTTCAAACTCAAAAAGATAAAAAGAGACCCCAATGGTCACTACATTATGATCAAGGGGACAATACTTCAAGAAGAAATAACACTCATTAACATATACTCACCAAACGAAGGAGCACCAAAATATATCAGACAACTGTTGTCTTCTCTGAAAACAGACATCAGAGAAAACACATACGTAGTGGGAGACTTCAACACACCACTATCAACAATGGATAGATCAACAAGACAAAAAATAAGTAAAGAAGCCAAAGCTCTAAATAAGGACCTAGAGCAATTGGGCTTAACAGACATCTATAGAACACTAAACCCCAAAAAAACGGAGTACACATTTTTCTCAAGCGCACACGGATCATTCTCCAGGATCGATCACATACTGGGGCACAAGACAAACATCAACAGATACACCAAGATTGAAATCATACCAACCTTCTTTTCTGACCATGAAGGCATCAAACTAGAACTAAACCATAAAAAGAAGGCAAGGAACTTTCCTACCTCATGGAGATTAAAAACCACTACTGGAAGACCACTGGACTAATGAGGAGATCAAAGAAGAAATTAAAAAATTTTTGAATTGAACGACAAGGAGGACACCAATATCCTAAATGTATGGGATGCAGCAAAAGCAGTAATAAGAGGAAAATATATAGCAATAGAAAGCTCACATCAAGAAACAAGAAAGAACGCAAAGAAACAACCTAATCTCGAAGCTCAAAGATCTAGAAAAAGAACAACAAAAAAACCCAGACCAGTAGAAGAAAAGAAATAATAAAAACAAAGCAAAATAAATGAAATTGAAACTAAAAAACAATCCAAAAGATCAATGAAACAAGAGCTGGTTCTTTGAAAAAATCAATAAAATAGACAAACCCTAGCCAGGCTCACAAAGGAAAAAAGGGAGAAAGCACAAATACACAGGATCATCAATGAAAGAGGAGAAATCACAACGGACACAGCAGAAATAAAAAGAATAATCAGTAACTACTATGAACAGTTATATGGAAATAAGTTTAATAATCTAGAGGAGATGGACAAATTCCTACAACTCTACAATCACCCAAAGCTAGATAAAGAAGAAATAGAACACCTAAACAGACCAATTACAATTAGCGAAATTGAAATGGTAATCAAAACCTCCCCAAAACAAAAGCCCAGGACCTGATGGATTTACAAATGAATTCTACAAACATTCAGAGACGAATTAGTGCCTATCCTTCACAAACTCTTCCAAAAAATTGAGAAGGAAGGGACAAT